AAAGATAAAATTATATGGCGATTCATCTAGATAATAATTTTTAAGACTGCTTATGTAATCACAGTTATTTAAAAAAAATATAAATTATAATAGAGATATAAAAATATATCTTTCATATTTTTATTTATAAATTTTTATCGCTTAAGTTCTGCTATTTAATTATTTTTATGTGCTATGATTCTAAGCCAAAATTATCTTAAATAAAATTATCTTAGATAAGATGAAGATGATTTTGTTTTAAATATATCTAGAAAAAGATAAAATTATATAGCGATTCATCTAGATAATAATTTTTAAGACTGCTTATGTGATCACAGTTATTTAAAAAAAAATGTAAATTATAATAGGGATATAAAAATATATCTTTCATATTTTTATTTATAAATTTTTATCGCTTATAAGTTCTACTACTTAATTATTTTTATGTGCTACGATTCTAAGCCAAAATTATCTAAAAATGATTCTAAATAATTTAGTGCAGATAATACTTTTTTTTATCTAACAACAAGATACAGAGATATAGATAATACTTATTTATATTATCTATATAAAGATAAAATGACGCCAAAATTTCATCTAGATAATCATCTATATAATTTTATTTAGATAACAGCGAACACTGATTATACTATATCGTTTCTTCAAAATTTTCCAGACCCGAACTCATAGAAAAATAAATCCTGTCAAACGCGAGTCGCGGCCTCGAATTTCTGGGAATCAAATTTCTCTTGTAGTTAAGATCATTTATCGCACTCTCTCTCTCTCTCTCTCTCTCTCTCTCTCTCTCTCTCTCTCTCGCTCGCTCTCTCGCTCGCTCTCTCGCTCTCTCGCTCTCGCTCTCTCTCTCTCGTACGAGCAAAAATCGCCCTCGGAAGGGGCGCAAAGATTTACGAGGGGTTGCCACGAGGCACCAGCCATCTTTGAATCACCGTCTCCGCGGAGAGATCGTTTCTCTCCATCCGAGCTTAAAAGTATTTCCTTGCTGTTCTCACCGCTCATTTGAGCTAATAACCCGCGCGCAAAGGGACGAGAGAGAGAGAGAGAGAGAGGTAAAAAGGGTGGAAGAGGAGAGAACGTGGCCTTGAGCCCTCGGTTGCTTACAGATGACCCAACCCCGGCTTCTCTGCGCGATGCCGGTTTTTCCTCGCAGTTTTCCAGAGCAAACTTTCCAATTTAATTCAGTTACTGTCTACCGTAAAACATATCCCGAGGATATGTCGGAAAAGAGGAAAAGGGAGATCAACGCACACGAAAGGAGGTCAATCTCCGAAACTTTCTCGGAGCATGTGCGAATTATTATATTATGGATGAAATATTGTATAACGCGTCCAGATCGTTTCGCATCATCTCGTAAAAGTTTGAAAATGTGTATTGGAGTTGTTAACAAGGAGGCGAAATCTGCGAAATGTCACGTCACATTATTAACAGTTTGTGCTTGTAGTTAGAGAAATTTCAAATTAGCAGTGTTTGCTGTTATCTAAATAAAATTATATAGATGATCATCTAGATGAAACTTTGACGTCATCTTATCTTTATATAGATAATGAAAATATGTATTATCTATACCTCATCAATCATAGCATAAACGATACAAATAGTAGAATTTATAAGTAGTATAATAGTAGAATTTAAGCAGTGAGCGATAAAATTTATAAATAAAAATATGAACACATTTTTATATCGCTTAATATGAATATATTTATTTATATAAATATGAATATTTTTTATTTTATATTTATATTTATATATTTTATTTTATATATAAATATGAATATATTTTTATATCTCTCTTATATAAATTCCATTTTTTAATAACTGTTTACATATCAATCATGTCATTACATGTCAATCTTAAAAATTATTTAAATGAACCGCCATATAATTTTATCTTTTATCTAGATATATTTAAAACAAAATCATCTTATCTAAGATAAATTTACATATTTTATCTGAGCATAACACTGCAAATTAGCTAGATTAATAAATTCATCTTAGATAAGATAATTTTGTGTGTTTTAAATACATCTAGATAAAAGATAAAATTATATGGCGATTCATCTGGATAATTTCCAGATAATATTGTTTAAAAATGAAAATAAAGGTGATATAAAAGTATTTACATTTTTATTTCTAAGTTTTTATCGCTTTTGTACTTAAATATTTTAAAAAATAACACTTTTTTATTTAAGATACAGATATGGATAATATATATTTTTATTATCTCCACCGAAGAAAAAGTTTCTTATCTTGACTAAACCTTTCAACTAGATATTATTTTGTTAATTAAACCTATAAAAAAATTTAACTTAAATATAACATATTAAATTTAACAAAACGTATATTTGACTTAAATATTAATATGATATATGTTGATTTAACAAAATAGTGATTTAGTTGAAAGATTTAGTCAACTTAACAATTTTTAATAAATTTGATAAAAGGCTGTTAAGAGCAGTAAATATAAAAATTCAAATTATGTTACAAAGTGAAGTCATATATAAAAATAATATTCTTTAATCTAATGTCTAATAATGAATTACAATAAAAGGTGACAAAAAAAAGAATTAAACATAAATTTTTAATTTATATTTAAAATTAATTATTAACAGCCTTTTATCAAACTTATTATAATTTAATAAGAGCCTTGACTTACTACGATTTAACAATTTTTGTTTAGTACGTAGTTGCGAAAACGGGACGATATCTCTCGATATGCAGAAGATCACCGAATGGAACGGGAGTTCGATGAAAGTCGATTTCCGCGGCTATTTCCCGCTTTAATATTAATTACTAGCCGCGCGTGGAGGATCGCCGCGGATAAAATCATTTATTAATCGGCAAATAATGCGACCGCGTGCACAAATGGCGGCTTCATTATGGAATCGCTGCGTGTACAGCTTCCCAATACAGCCAGATAATTGCGTTTCGCCGAAATAAATCTCTCGCTTGACTTCACCAACGTAAATAACCAATAATTAACAACAGGCGTTAGAGCTTAAATTCCCTCGTTATTATTCTATAATTTTCAAGTAAGTTTATTTCTAACTCCGATTGTGCGCATGTGTACGCATGTATGGGTATAACAAAAATTAATAATGAATTAAAAAGAGGAAAAATAGAATTAATTATTTTTGATTATTTCTTTATCTGTATATAAAAACTTGCGCCATTCTTTATAGTTTGTCGAATGAGAGTATTTTAAATTCAGACTTTATTTGAAGAGTTTCTCTCTTTGAATTTATGTGTTTTATATTTAAAATGATTATATAAGTTTAATTTAATTCTCTTATCTAATCTTAGTAGAGTTTTCTATTGTCCAATTTTGACTTTAATTGCTTCAATCTTTTGTGCATTTAAACTTTATCAGTCCCGTTTTGTATCTCTGTAATTCTTTTTTTTCATTCTTTCGCTGATATATCTTGAAATCGAAAGAGAAAAGAGAGAAAGAGAAATTCTCTCTAGAGGAACTTAAGTTACCCTAATAAAATTTTAAATTTAATTTTGAAATTTTTGTCAATTTAAAAGTCGGGCGCTGACTAACTTGATTCATCAGAATTTATTATGCGTTCTTTACTATGCAATTTTTATTATCACGCTCCGCACTTTCGCAAGGCCGTAAAGTTTACGTCGCAAGAAAATAAAGAGTTGGAGGAACGAAAACTAAAGAGTCCCGTACATTCGAATAATTCTCCTTATAATCTAAAGTAGGTTAAAATCATAAGTCTTAATGATAATAAATCTAACAAAAGGAAAAAAAAGGAAGAAACCAGGGAAGAAACCGCGCGTTTTTTTTCCTAGGTGATGGATAACCAGGAGGTGCCCCATCACCACCTAGTGAATAATAAATAATGCCGGGGGCGGCCTTTAAGAAACCGAAACCCGATAGAGAAAGAATGGAACAATAAGAATGGATCGCCCGATCGCGGAATACATTTAGGTATACCTTCGTCATGCGGTGAAGAAATAGCAGCGGAAGAAGAAGGGAAGAAATAAAAGTCGAGCGCGACCGAGAGACAAGAGAAAGAGATAAAAAGGAATTGTCATCGCATCCGGGTGGCTGCAACCACCCTTGTAACCGCGTCGTGGATATTTCGCCTCCCTCTTCCTTCTTCCCAATTCATCCCCACTCTCTTTCTCTCTTTCTTCGCCCCTCTCTTTACAACCACTGTCATTTGTTTTTACGTTTACTCCTCGTCGTTCCTGAAAATCCTCCGCCAGACCTGGCCGCGCCGCGAGATTTTCTCGAGAAAACGGCGAGAGAGATAGGAAACGCGGACTATATATATTTCGAGAGAATGAACCATAAAGCTCCTTAGATATTCCGGGAATCTCAATGATTTTTACGACGTGGGCGTCCGTGGAAATCAGAGTTTTGATAACAGTCGCAGTAATACACGTATCAATGGAATTAATTATATATATATTTTTATATAATTATATATAATTAACATATATTAATACACATATATATTAATATATTATATAAACATATATATATATATATATTAATATGTAATATAATATATATATATATATATATATATATATATATATTATTATATTTATATATAAGAAATATAAAAGCGTGCAATATTTTATATATATACATTAATATATAATATAAATATATATATATATTTATATATTATATATTATATATTAATGTATATATATATATATATGTTTATATAATATATAATATAAATATAAATATAAATATATATATATATATATTATATATTATATATTATATATAATATATATATATATGTTTATATAATATATAATATAAATATATATATATGTATATATATTAATATGTAATATATAATATAAAAATAATATATATGTATATATATATATATTAATATAAAATTAATTACTATATTTATATATAAGAAATATAAAAGCGTGCAATATTTCTCTTCGTAAATTTCCTGGTCAATTAACGTCTATCTCTACCCTCGAATCGCCGTAGGAAGAGAATAATCGTTACTCACGAATCGTAAAGTTGGTGGGGTTCACGATCTTCGGGCAGACTCTGAAGAGCCCGAGCTTGAATCTCACGCTGGCCACATTGGCGTAGTTTCTCGGTGCATTCGGCAGGGCGAGCTTCTCCTCGGTATGGAGCCAGGTCGGGCCCAGAAGGGCGACGCTGAGGGCCGCTAAAGCGGCGAGGCCGCACACGACCCCGCATCTGGTCAACGCGATACCACCTGGACCACCCGAGCAACACATCTTCGTTTTCCCGAGTAACGGACCTCAGGGTGACATCCTCCGAAGCAAATCACCTGCGCAGCGCGAGAAAAACGCCGCGATTCATCCCTTCGCCCTGCATTTCCGACTTCCCTTTCTCGAATTAGTGTCCTCGATGTTTATTAGGAACAGTCTTGTTTTTTTTTATTTTTTAAATTATTAAAAATTTTTTTTGTATTATTTCTTTTCGCAAACACGAAAGCCAGAAGCTATAATTAATCCCTTTCTCCCTTTTCGTTTCCACTTTTAATAATTTGAGTCGAAAAGATCCCGCACTTTCTCGCGATTATAGGCTCTTTTTGCCTTAAGATGATTTTCAAATTATCTAGATAAAGATGAGATACAAATATGTAAATTTATCTTAGATAAGGTGAAGGTGAGTTTGAATTTAAATATATCTGGATAAAAGATAAAATTATATAGCGATTCATTTAGATAACTTCTGGATAATATTATTTTCTAAATCGCTCATATTATCACACAGTTATAAAAAAATGTAAATTATAAAAATATATGTTCATACTTTTATTTGTAAGTTTTTATCGATTATTGCTCAAGTATTTTTATATACTATGATTCTAAAACAAATTATCTGAACTTTATTCTAGATAATTTAGATACTTCAAGATAACACTTTTTTCATCTAATTGTAAGATGCAAATATAAATAATATATATTTTTATTATCTATATGTAAAGATAAGAATTTCATCTAGATGATCATCTATATAATTTTATTTAAATAACACTGCCTAAGTTAAGGGAATGCTGATCATATCTGTTTTACCGACTTTGAGTTAGGTTAGGTTCACTTTTTATTGAATATACAGATTAAAAAATCCTTCTTCACAATTAAAGTACTGATAATAATAAACGGGGAGCGTTGAAATTTCGTATAAAGACAATAAAAGTTAAAAAATTAGTTTTTTATCGGCCTCTTGCATCAGCTCATAAAAATACTTATTTAATACAAAAGTTCTGCAGTTTATTTGTGCGCAAAATAAGACGCTCCCAAGAGAGATGACATGAAAGAACTCATTTATTATTATCAGTACTTTTATTGTGGAGGATTTTTCAATCTGTATATTCAATAAAAAATGAACCTAACCTAACTTAAAGTCGGTAAAACAGAACGACAATAATATTCCCTTAAAAAATTCAGAACATATCGCTTATTATAATTTCTTTACAATTTCCAGAATAAAAGAAAGAAACGCGGTATACATACATGCAAAGAAATATTCTCCATATATTTACGTACGATCGAAATAATCGCGAGAAATATCATGAAAATGTAAAAGATGCCTGAATTCTTCTGAAAGGAATGGCGACCGTTAATGGATTTCTCGTTATGTGGAGAAACCATTAAAACGCGCGTTTGCCCGCTCCCCAAGAAATTAATTCCGATTGCCGTTATCGCGGGCGGCTTGAAAAAAAAAAAAGACGAGCAAAAAGATGCGCGGGTTAGGGGGTGGGATTGATAAAAGGACGGGGAAGGTGAAAGAGGATGGATCGCCATTATCGCCACCGCGTTTTCCGCGTCGAGGATAGATGAGATAGAGTCCCCGACTTTTTTTCTCAATGGATTTTTTTTTCTTTACTCTGAAATCGCGGGAGAGAGAGAGGGCGGGCAGGTTTTGCTCTTTATCTTCTTCACGTTCGGGGGTTCGTAAATAATCCTTTTCGGAGAACGAGAGGAGTCGTCAGCTCTGAATAAAACCACGACGCCCTAATCTCAGCGATGAAAGAGAAAATCTCGCCGAATATAGTCGCGAAAAAAAATGCCCGAAACGCTCCCCAGCTTCGAGAAATCTCACTCTCTCTCTCTCTCTCTCTCTCTCTTTCTCCCTCGACCGCGAGCCGATAAAAATCTCCCGCCTCGCCGACAACGGAGTAATAGCAATAATTGCTTTCCGGTTTTTGCCCCAACAAGCGGTCGGCGAGCCGGTGAACAAAAAAAAAAAAAAAGGAAAAACGGAAGTATCGTTTTGCGGCACAATGTCTATATCGACATGACCCCGTAATACGCGAGCGCGCGCGATTTATGTCCGCTGCAGATGGCAGTTGCAATTACAGCGTCATTCTTTCGCTCCGATCTAATTAATTGAAAAATGGTGTGCGAGAGAGAGAGAGAGAAAGGGGAGAGAAAAAGAGGGGGTTGGTTGCACCCCGGCAGTTTCTGAGAGGGCCCTCCAGAGATTTCCGGTCTTGTTAGGAAGGACTTTCGAGTGCTGCTTAACTCTGTTCCGCCTCTTTTTCTCTTCGATCCCTTGTTTCTCCCCCTTTCTTAGTATCACGTAATTAAAAGTTCGAACCGACCGCGATTCACGCCTGACGGAAACCATCCTCTCTCTCCCTCCGCACGACACTTCCCGTATTACTACGTAATCTAAGGGAGGAAGAGAGGAAAGGAAGGAGAGGCCTTTCTTTCCACTTTTCTCCCACTTTTCCTCGTCTTTTTGCAATTACTCCTTCTTGAGAACTTCGGCCGTTCGAGAGACCAGAAATTCCACAGCGAGATTTCTGTTCTCTATATTCTTGGATGGGTTTAGAATTAGCTTGATAAAGATGAGATGAAAATATGTAAATTCATCTTAGATGAGACGATTTTGTTTGAAATTTATCTGGATAACAGATAAAATTATAGAGCGACTCACAGTGTTGTGCTTAGATGATTTTAAAATTAGATCAAGATAAGATAAAAAATGTAATTCATCTTAGATAAGATAAAGATGATTTTGTTGGAAATATATCTAGATAAAAGATAAAATTATATGGCAATTTATCTAGATGATTTTTTAGATAATAATTTTTAAATTTGATTTATTTATTCAATTGACCAAAACTGGCATCACTAAGACTGGCACTTTATGACAGCTATATAAAAATGTAAATTATAAAAGAGATATAAAAATATATAAAATATATGATATATATATATATATATATATATATATGTATACAATAATAAATATTCATATTTATATATAAAATATATTTCTATTATAAGGGATATAAAAATGCATTCATATTTTTATTTCTAAATTTTTATCGCTCACTGCTTAAGTTCTACTATTTAAGTATTTTTATGTGCTATGATTCTAAATCAAAATTATCTGAAAATTATTCTAGATAATTTAGTAAAGACAATACTACTTTTTTAGCTAAAATACAGATATAGAAAATACATATTTTTATTATTTACATAAAGATAAAATGACGCCAAAATTTCATCTAGATGATCATCTATATATAATTTCATACATGTAAATACCAGCAAACACTGGTTATCGGATAACAAAAAGAAGTCGTGGCTATTCAGAACCATGTACTTGTCTAATTAGTGCACAATATGTATTATTTACGTATTTTGCTCTCGAAAGATCGCGCCGATTTATTCATAATGGCAACTTTCAAGTCCGATAGAATGTACACTCTCGATGTAAAAGAGAAATATTACGTTTCAAAACGTATCCGCGTATAATACCATCTCTCTTAACCATCATACGTCGATCACACGTGAACGTACATTCTCTAGAAATTCGGGAAAAAAATTGTTGAAACGTTGAAATGAATTGTCAACCGCGCCGACCTCCCATCGGAAGGGTTCGGAAAAGTCCATCGACACTTCCAACGAGCAGCTTCTGTCAACCCGGGTCTGTTTTTTCGCGGACGCATCCTGGTGTCGGAATATCCGCTCGAATCGACACTAGGAGCGCGACTAGGATCATCGATAAAAATGGTTGCGGACGGAGCGAAAATATGCGCGAACGTCCACATCTATTTTTTTTGCCCGTGCGACAACGCGGAGGCGAGTTTTTCGAACTATGATTATTGGGCGTTTCCGGTTAGATGGATTAACAAATTATCTGCGAGCGCAGGAAATGAAAAAGAAATTTTTTATAGCGCGATGCTTCGTGCAAAATTGCCTTCGAATCATCAGGTGTATGTTTAACGTGTTAGCTTGAAATTTTATGGACGATAAATTTTCATCATCCATTTGCATTTCTAAAATTTATTTCGCGAGAGCTCTTCATTTTCAATTCCTTTAGAGGGAAAAATATATACAGGTGTTTCGTTTTAATTAATGTAGTCAAAAATCTCCGAAAATGTGGCAGAAGCGTGAAAATATTGTATAAAACGTTCGGAGAGGGAAAAAGTTGATAATCTTGAATTTTAAAGTAATTTTTCAAATCTAATTTGTACGGCAATTTAATTTTTTAAAACTAGAATCATCTTAATTTTTTTATATAAATTGATTTCTCACATAATATTTAATATAAAAAATTATAAGATGGCCAAAAACTGAGTTTGCGAGATATGTATCCTAATATTTTAATTAGACATAATTTAAACAAACTATAAAATATTTATTTTTCGATAATCTTACCTATATAAAAATAATGAGAGAAATTAATTAAAGAAAATAAGATAAAATGGAATTATCCTAATTTTTTTATATAAATCGATTTCTCAAACAATATTTGATACTAAAAATTATAAGATGGCCAAAAACTGAGTTTACGAGATATGTAATATTTCAATTAGACATAATTTAAACAAACTATAAAATATTTATTTTTCGATTATCTTGAATTTTAAACGGCAATTTTAATTTTTTAAATAGACTTATCCTAATTTTTTAATATAAATCCATTTCTCATACAATATTTGATACCAAAAATTATAGAATGGCCAACAACTGAGTTTACGAGATATGTTATATTTAAGTAGACATAATTTAAACAAACTATAAAATATTTATTTTTCGATAATCTTACCTATACAAAAAAAAATGAAAGAAACCAATTGGAGAAAATTAAATACATAAAATTATTTAAAAAAAGGATGCTCCTTGCAAATTACCTTTAATTAAAATAAAACACATATACATACGTATATATCATTAAAATGAACTACTTATAATTTCTAAAGCTTGATGCCACATCCTATACGCTATATATCATTAACGAATGACGCAGGCAACCGTGCTACTAATTAAGCGCGATTCAACTTCAGCTCGGTTTCGAGCTCGGAAACGAGTCAGCGTAAAATCGCGCGAGGACGATTTTTTACGGTTTCCGCATCGCGCGACGGACGATTTCCGCGTCCGCGAGCTCTAATCAAACTCGACGGACGACGACGGACGAGAACGAGGGAAAAAAAAGAGCGTTCGTTAAAATCTCGACGCGTTCGGGATCCGCGCCCGATTTTCCCCGACGAGTTTTCGCCAAGAGCCTCCGCAGAGTAATTTTGAATTTTTCCCGAGGAAAGAGACGGGAAAAAAAGGCACATATCATCCGCGCGCGCGAAATTACAAATTATGTACGTGCGTGCTTTTCAATTAAAAAAAATTGCGACTTACACCCGCGGAGAAAAAATGTCCGGCCCGAAACGCGTTCGAATCACCTGAATGCGATTGGGAAATCTAGAGAAGGAGATAGCAAAAGAGAAAGGGAGAGGGAGGCGAGAAATGCAATTTAAAACGATTGCGTCGCGCGGAAAAATATTTGCTCCGCGCAAAACAATTCCCGTCGCGCGGGAAAATATTTACATTGCATTAGAACGATTTTGCGGTGCAACGAATGTTTTAGCGCTTTTCGAGAGAGGCTCACGCAGTTTTTAAAACGCCAAATAGGCAGATAGGATATCCGCGTGTAATGTATAATTGATTTTGTTGCGTGCGACAAATATCTCTTCTGTGTAATGCGTGATTTTTTTTTTTTTTTACAGAACATATATTCACATGTGAAACGAACGCATTTTCCATTATAAATAAAAATCCGACGTAACATATGTCACACGCAATTTTAATTCCGTAACACATGTATATATATATATATATATGTATATATATGCTCTCTTTTCCTTATATTATACATATATACATATATAATATATAATATAATATATAATATATAATATATAATATATAATATAATATATAATATATAATATAATATATATATAATATATAATATAATATATATATAATATTATAATATAATATAATATAATATATAATATATATAATATATATTATATAATATTATATAATGTATAATAATATATATTATCCTATATAATATCTAATATCTTATATCTTATATATATCTATATATATATATATATATATATGCTCTCTTTTTCCTTTTCCCTTTGAACCAATTAGTATAATAAAATTAATATAATTATATCCGTATTCAAAAATTATTTCGCGCGCAAAAAAAGGAGAAAAAATAAAGAAACAAAATAATTGCATTTGGATAAAAAAAATTGACGAGAAAAAAGGCAAGATCGTTCTAGATTGCAGAAACATTGAAAAGCCTAATATGTAGCGGAGCGATCGAAAATGCAATTCGCGGCGAGCGTTTCCGCGTTTCACGCGAACCACCTCGTACATATGGCTCTTTGAAGTCATTACCGGCGTGTCAGTGTCAGACGACCAGACCCCTCCCCCTTCCTCGCCCCTTTCCAACCCCCGAGCGGAAAAAGCGGAGAGCGTCGGGCGTGCGCGATATTTTTCTACTGTCACGAGCGACCGCTCGTCCCAAATCCTGGACAGGACCCCCGGTGTAGGGTCCTGGCGAATAGCGCGAATCAGGGTGTGTTCCTACCGCGAGATTATACGTGAAAATTCTTCCCCGAACGTATTATATCTAAGGGAGACGCGTATGAGGAAAATATATGTATCTAAATAAGCGAGAAAATTTAGGAGATAATTCCTTGTCAAAAATTAAAGGGGATTTCTTTTCTTATATTAACATATATTTTTATGTCTCTCCCTGAGGAATTATATTTTTCTAATGAGTAGGTAAAAATTAATTTTTTTTTTCTAAAATTTCAAACAAATTAAAAAAATAAATATTGGTGGATATTATTATTTTTTTTTTGATCGTTATAAGGGGATGAAACTAACAGCTCCTGTTTAATTTTTTATCAGAACTTTTTGATGGGCC